AAGCTTGATTCGTCACTTCAGTGAACAGGTTGTGTGCTTTACACCACTGCATTGTTGGGTATTTTACTTGTAAAACCACTCTGACCTATGTATGTAGGGGAGCGTTATCCATGGGATGAACAAGCTTTTTCTTTTTATCTGAGGGTGTGACTGGGTCTGGAGTGCACTGGGATGCCAGGCTTGGAAAAATTATCTGAATTTCTCTGATAAACCTGCTTCAGCAGGGATGACAATGCTGTTCCATTTGTTATTCTGTTTCTCCCTGGTTGATTTCTGACCTTCTTTCTTGTGCATTTAAGAGCTTTCTTTACGTGTGTGTTTCCTTTCTTTCCGTTCTGCCTAAGAGGGAATGTGTTCTGCCTGGTGTTGCACAGTCCTGATTACCCCAAGAGTCTAGATTACCCACACTAAAAAACAAGATCAATCAAACCATCAAGGAACTCAGAACCAGACCCTGCAAGAATTTAGAAGAGGAACTTGCAACACTTCCACCTTACTGCATTTTAGAGGTATTGCACTGGAATTTTGTTGTTGCCCATCTTCTACCCCTCCTATACTTCTAACACCATCTCCAACAAAAAAGGCCTCAGAGTTTTATATTGGCACACCTTTGCAAATCTCTGCTTTAGTACTGTATCACCCCAAAAGAGCACTTTGCTCTCAGACTGCTGGTTTATTTGTGATTCCTTGGGTACTCAAAAGTAGAATGGGAGGCAGAGCCTTGAGCTTTCAGGGCTCTCTTCTGTGGAATAAGCTCAGAGTTTGGACTTGGGCGACAGACACCCTCTCTACTTTTAGGCTTAAAACTTTCCTTTTTAACACAGCATAAAATTTGGGCTGGATCTTCCCTTAGTTACCCTGCAATAGGAAGAGATTTCTTCCTGTTAAAAGGAAGTTTTTCCCTATCACTGTTGCCAACATGTTTACTCATAGAGGGTCATCTGATTGTTGGGGTTTTCTCTAGTTCATCTCTATTACTGTTGGGTCTTTATCTTACAATATAAAGTGCCTTGAGGCAGCTGTTTTTGTGATTTTTTGCTACATAAATAAAATTGAATTGAATTAGAACTGAATTTGCTGGGCATCGATATGCAAAAGGTAAAATTCATAGCCATGGCACCTGTGTGGCATTCCCATGATTACACTCTCCACTCCACTCTGACTGGACTTGTCAATGATGGTCTTCAGGGCTGGAACGAGCGACTCACAACCTTCCAGGCCAAAGCGCTTCTCTGAAGACCACTTCCTTTGGAGAAATTCCTCAAACCTGCAAAAAGTTGGTTGTGGTGTTTCACACTGTGGCTCGAACTTTACACTTCCATCAGACTGAGAAAGGCCTTTTAAACTTTTAGTTATTTGTTGAGGCGTACTAAGAAAGTGAAGAACCACAGACACACCTGGTTGACTGGATCATTCTGGCCAGTAGGGTCCTCTTCTCCTCCAGAGTGCACTGCATGACTCCTGGAGTCTCAAACTTCTGTCTGATCCATTGGCACTGTTCCATGTCATTAATAAACATAAACTCTACACCGATGTGTTGACAGTAAGCTCTCTAAGAGACAAAAAAAAGTTACGTTTGTATTAGTTTGGATAAAAAAGAGGTTCCTGTTACAACTTTTCTTGGCTGTGTGTATCTGCTGATATATGGGTATCTAAATCAGCATCTATATGGGTATCTATACCACAAAGACATTGGAAATCAAACAAGTTGGATCATCACATTCTGTGTTTAAAAAATAAGCATTTATATATATGATCCTTACCTCAAGGCGGTATATGATCTCTCTGAGAGGCAGAGCACTTTCATTCCCACCAATGAAGGTGGTAGTGGGAAGCCGGAACACCTTATCTAAGTCACTTTCAGCCAGCCCATAAATGCCTGCAGTGTAAACAATGAAATTAAAAATCTTTCTTTCAGCCCATCATCGCACAATATATGTAGGCTGTGAAATTGATAGGACAAAACCAAATGGCAACTTCTAGAATAGAAAAATGAGGCAGACAAACAATGGTACAGTCGACAGAAAACGTATGTATCGTGTTAGTGTTTCTGACATTTTAACAATACAGCCCATCCAAGATATAGTATTCCAGTTTAGGTGAGTGAAATTGTTATTAGCCTGTTACTTGGAACTGTGTATGTAGAAGACGCATCTGTACAGTTTGTAAACGCAGCTTCCTAACCAAGCCTTCCACCCTCTGGCCCAAATGTAACACTTTTGGCTTCAAAAGACCAACAATGCAACAGCTAAAACACTAAGGTAGAAGACTCTGCATGAAGAGTTGTTAGTTGAACAACAGCTACACATAACTTTTAGTGATCTTATTAGTTTGGGTAATTTTTTAATTGTTTCACTTTATTCTATCAATTTTGTATGTATGTGGGTTTTCTTTACATCTTATGTCTTATAAAGTACACAGCATTTTGAATTGCCTAACTCAAAGGTTCAGGGTAAAGCCACTTTTCACGCCTTTAAATTGCTTTTTATCTCTGGCATTTTGACTATTATAACAAAATGAATTAAATTCATTCACAAAGAAACATCAATGGTTTGCAATCTTTTTTAGTAAGTGGCTATAATATTTTTTCTTTGACTGAAAAATGCTTAAGTAAGTTTTGCAAAGATTTTTATCTTTACCCTGTGTGAATCCATATGAACTTAAACCCCTGTCTATAATATTTGCATTGAGCTGTACAGGGATTTGATTTGATTTAAAAATGACTGACATATCATATGTCCTTACAACCTGACCTGAACACAAGATGATTCCATTATTTCCCATTATGCAGTTCTCTTGACATAATCTCACAAGCAGCGAAAGCAGTTTGATCTTTGTGGATTAAACTGGTCAAGTCTTCCTTTAAGGAACATTTTAGCTTAAAATCTCAAATCTCTCTTTCTATCCTTTAATTCATCAGGGGCCAAAGCTCTTTTACAGCAGCTGCAGCATCAAATCTCAGCTGATTACATTCTCAAAATGACAGAGCTTTCTTTCTCAAAACCCCGAGGCTCTGAATTAACTCGCCAAACAAGGTCAGGCAAATCACCCCTTAATATCAGCATCCATGGTTTAAACTCCTGAACCATGGTCATTATGTAATATTAACTTTTCATTTAGCTTGGTTTTATGGGTCTGTAATTTCCTAATAACTTGCCTGGAAAGAAACAGATAACCTGTCATAAATACATAACTCTGTTATTTTTTTTAATGCTTTTTTTCCCTCCTTCTTTTTTAAAGCTCCAATCTATAGTCACAGAAACCACACATAATGAGAAGCAATGTACTTAAAGCTGAAGGTAGGTTAAGATTACTGGTCAAATGGTGCGCCAATGTAGTGAAGAGACACGGTCTAAGACGTCAGAGTGGCTTGTGTTTATCTAAGCATGCAATGTCCTCGTCACACCAAACCGTGATAAGACAAAACTAGATAGACAAGGGGCAGGGCAACTTGTTGTATCTATGTCTTTTTGTGCATCTCTGTCAGCAAATTAGTACAGAGTACTCTGCTTATCATGGGGGATTATTAATTCCATACATCCCAGTCAGCGTGTTACATAGGAGATCTTTAGACTTTTCTGCCTTTCTGAACTACCTCGCACAAAAAACCTAGCCTTGTTTTCTTTGATGATGTAACATAATCAAGTAGTTTCTGCCTGTAATCTAATCATAGTAACATTTTATTGAAGCACACTTAGATAAGCCTGTAAAAGTCCTGCTTGACCTCATTGGCCACTGAGCAAAGGTTGTCAGGAGCCAACAAGCACACCTTCTTTCATGGGTGACTTGCTGCAAGACAGTTATTATTAGTTATAGTTAGTTATAATATCAAAGAAGTATGTTTTATGGCAAATGCACATGCACTGACACTCATGTTTTCTCTCTGACAGACACACACACACAAAGCGTGGGCCTGTGATAGTAAATAAAAGAGGAGGGAGGCTAAAAGATAAGAAAGCAGGGTTGTCACATTTATAAAGAAAACTGAAAGGGTAAATGGGTCGGTGAAGGTACATAAGGAGTGGATCAGTGATAAAAGAGCAGTGGGACAATTAAAGGTATCAAATATATCATGACAAAAAGGATCAAAGTATAAAAATAACAGGAAAAGAAAAGCCAGCGGAAAAAAGAGAAAATGAATAAACATGCAACAGGATTATTGTTCTCACCGACGTTCTGGAAACCAATAGTACAGGGGGCATCGTCAAAGTCTACACAACTGATGTCCAGGGGATCCAGCTTGGCTATGTGATGCCCTCTTACCTACACAGAAGGGAATATGGCTCAATGCATCGATTATTGATACTGAAACTGTCCATTACTGTTTTTGGTGCACTGGGAAAATTGGAATTATAATGGTTATATGATATAATATGTTGTAAAGCTTGTGTTTAGGAGTTTGTCTTTGGGATGAACCCGTTTTTGTCTGAGTGTGTGGCTGGGTCTGAAGTACACTGGGATGTCGTGCTTGGAGATGATTCTCCTGAGTTTCTCTGATAAACCTGCTACATAGGGGATGACAATATTGTTGCGTTTGTCTTTCTGATCCTCCCTAGTTGGTGTCTTCTTTTCTGTGCATTTTTGCTGACTTGATGAAAACCCATTTAGGATAACCACATGTTTTAAGAGCTTCCCTTACATGTGTTTGTTCCCTCTTTTTCCCTTCAGGCTTAGAGGGAACATTTTCAAGTAGTAAATATATTTCAGTTCAATACTTTTCCTTGTGTCATTTCTCACTAATACACAGTTTATGGGTCTATGGTTTCTTTTATTTGTATGTGTGGACTGGATGGATTATTATTGACATCTGGTAAGAATATCATGCCAATAGCACCTTTAAAAATATTGACACAAACGTACACAGGTCCTGTACGTACGTTTGTGTCATTTTAAAACACAACAGCTCCCCATTCTGATGAGTTTCTAACACAATTTCCAAAGGCAGAAACTGTCTCTTTATATCCCATTATCAACTCAGACTTACATGAACAATGGTCCAATAATGCATAATGCATTGGTGTAGTCTTGGACTATTTGAGGGTTCTTAATAATGGAAACTAAGCATTCAATTTACAGATGAATCTTAGGTCACAACATTGCCAATTCGGGATGTAAGGCTGAAATTATGTCCACAATCAGTCATCTAAATTTTTGAAAAATCAAATACCATTTATTCCTCATTTGGTGGTGATAGCTGCTCTTGGTCAGTTTTCACGTTCACCTTGAATTTTTTAGAGTAAGGTTTTATAAACAGCAACTTAATTATTGACCATGGCATTGAACACCTGCCTCGCACTTTCCACAATCTACTAAAGAAAATATTGTGCAGTAGTTAATGGCAAAAGGAACTAAAGTAGAATTACTTTTAGTGTACCGTGTCAGAGTAAAACACCAGACTGAAAGTTGTTAATCTTTTGTTTTTTCCTTTATGAATAAACTGAAAAGGCTTACTTTAATTTTGCTTCCTTATCATTTCACTGCAGATTATAGCAGAGAACTGATGATATATGTGAAGTGGGTTTTACTATCTTTGCATTTTGTAACACAGTCTGTGTCACTTCCAGAAACTAAAATGAAAAAAAAAAAACCCTAACTCTACAATAATGAGAGACAAAACATTTTCTGTGTGGTTGCAGTTAACCTGGTATGCTCGAATAAGTGAGTGTACGGCTAGATGATCCTCCACCAGCTTCTCCACACTGGGTTGAGTCCCCACCAGTCTTTCTGAAGTCCTACTGAGGTGTGGTGGGCCCTGATAGGCTGCACCAGGCGGAGCCCCAGCACTGGCATTACGGAAAAACACATCCCAGGACTGCATAGAGAAAGAAAGAGACAGTTTACTCAGCAATATGCTAACTAGTCACATGAATTAATAGCCTGTCACCAACGTAGTTAGGTTAAACAGTGATTACTAAGCAAGACTCAAGTCAAGTCACTGTTATCTGGAGCATTTGCCATAACTGGCAATGAGGCAAGATTTACAAAAATCAGTGTAGGTAAAATGAAAACACATAACTTTTTGAAGGCAGTTTACTCACACTCCTGTAGAGATTAAGAATGAATTGTACCTCAAGTTAATATCCGTGTGAGGGCAGGAGAGTGACTACTTCTTGCAATTTAGTGTGAGTCACTACATTACGAGCTTTTCACCATGTACCTAGTGCATAGCGTACAGTGATTCTCCCAGGCTGACTAAGGGAATCCACATTTTAATTTATCAATGTAAGCATTTTGGTTGCTGCTATACTTTTATTTTGGAGGAGAGTCAGAGAGGAAAGCAAGGGTACGGTACCATGTCTACCAAACAAGTTGAGAAACTATGGCTCCACCCACACATATCTGCTTATTAGTGTTAAGTAACTACAACTGTACTCACCTCAATGGAAGCACAAACTTCTGGATAATCTGTACCTTACTGCAGGACCAAATTAGATGCAGTAAGGCCTAGGAGCCAGCTATTGGCTACAACTACATCACACTTGACTTTCAACTGACAAGATGAGTTATAAAACAAAATCTCAGACTGTGCAGTTTTTATAACGGGGGAAACTATCAATAGACACCAAAATTGTTTTCTGGACTGGACAATAAACATTTTTAATGTTGTTCGGCTGGCCACTTAACCATGGAATTCTATGTGAACTGACTAATTTATGCAGGCAACTTCAAGTTGCCACTCCAGGAACTACAGTTTTTTGCATTTCATCATGTAGACTGGAGTCATAGTGCACACTCTGTGTGATGTCTAAGTGAGAATAGCCTAAGTGAGAATAGTGCAGGTAGTTGTCTATTGCATTTACACTGAGTGTGTCATGTATCCTTTACACTCTATTCAGGCAGCTCCATCACCTAAATTCCAGGATTTCCACTAATAATGTGTCTTCAGTGGATTGTCACTGTGCAACATGTCAAGAAGTACAGGTGTGGACAATTTTGTGTCTTGACGATCATGTGTGAAAATTTTGTATTTTCAAGTTTTAGTAAAATTGTCAACTTTCTTTCTTTACATGTGTATTTAGTGGTCATTATTTATGTACTTATTTATTATTATTTTCCATTTTTCGACCTCCCCTCCAGCCACCACCAACATCCCAATTTATTTTCAAAATCTGTTTCTGTTTATCTTTTTAAATTTCATCATAAATTTCTGCTCCTTTATACAAATTTAAACACTGTGTCATAGTCACCTTTTCAGTTATGGGTTAATCACCATCATACTTTGGTCCCATGCCAGGCAACCTAATACCTGTCTGTAACTGATGGAGGTGGAGTTATTTTTCACTGTTATGTATTCATTATTAGGTCATCTCTGCCGACCAAGACACTTGGTTGGTTTTACATGCAGTTTCATATTTTAAACATATATAATTGCAGAAATGACAACGACATCAAACACAGAATTAAATTCATCTGTACCTTGTGTACACTCTTTGGATTCTCCAGCCATGTGTAGTACATCTCCTCCACATAGTTAGAGCTAGTGCCATTAAGAAAGGGTTCACTAGCTAGAGGTGTGTTCAGGTGCCTTGCGGGCTGAGATGTCCTTAAGCCCTGTTTAACTGCCAACGGTACAGGCTTTGATAGGCTCTGGGCCATTTGTACAGCCGTTAAAGGCCAAAGCCTTACAACCGTAGTCCTTAAGCGGTGCATAGCAGCAGATGAGTCACAGTTCTGCAGGACCACTCTCCTGGACAAGGAGATCCTCCAGGCTAATCAGCAGCTGCCCGTCTTCAAATCCATCTGGCTTGCTGAAATGGAGAGATTGGCTTATCTGCAGACACTGCCCCTTTTCGTCTCTCAACTGTCCAATGGATCCTGCAGATTCCAAATATAGATTTTGTAATTGAGCAAACCCAATAAGGCTAATATTATATATATTTTAGTGGAAAAACACATGGTAGGGCCAAAAAATTTTTATTCAGTTTCTCAGTACTTGTATGTGAATGAAGTGCTAGTTGTAAATTCAGGTATGCATTTTGCCATATGTAGCTGCAGAGATTACTTAAAAATTCTGAAAATGTGATATGTACCATAGGCAGCATATGGACTAAGGCCTCAATTATTTCAGAAAAGACTGGGGAAGGAGTCCAAGACTACCATACATGCTAAAGAAGCAGAGGGTTGCTAACAAGCACAGAAAAGTGGCTAACAATTTGTGATTTCCTTACCCCTAAATCTTGGTCAATATTTAAAAGGTGAACAACAAGAAGTACTTTTGCAACCAGGCCCCTGCTCACCATTAATGAAAAATGCAGGTTTAGGGGGGATCTCTAGAGGCAAGATGTGCCCCATGTTTATACGGCCTATGACTTAGTTATAAGGTTTAAGACTCAGCATTTAGCTATTATATTCAAGCCTTAGATTTAGTTATGGTTTTCAATATTATAAGTTATACAATATAGGGACACTATTCACACACTATATGCACATACCCCTATTAAATGTAGGCCTAACGCTAACGGTTGCAAAATGTTGCAGTTTATTTCAGCAAGCAACAAAGCATGTCAAAAATAATAGCTTTCACTTTTAAAGACACCTTAGTAGTTCCTAAAACCTGGACTTTAATCTTTAGCAGATTTTACTGAAAAAGAGAATGTATGGCTTTTGGTGTATTCCTAGTCATTACTTTTTAGCATTTTATGGCAATCTAATTGAATGTTTCTATGAGCACAAGTTAAGCAGTAAGACAACACAGAGGAATTTAGTTACGAAAAATAACACTGGCGCGGGTTAACAACACATCTAACGGGTCTTTCCAGGAAAAAAAGTAAAATTAAGTTCACTGAGGGACGGCATAAAGCCTAAACACAGACAACAAGCCTCGTAACCTTAAAATCTGCATTCAGTAAATACAATCCCAAACACAAAGCAAGAACACTTCAAAAACCGTACTATCACTATGAAGCATTAATCAGGTTCAAAGTAAAGTTTCCCGTTAAATAAAGCTTTTAGGATAACACTTCTTTTGTATCGAGTTTGTTACCTTTTCCACCGTCTCGTAGGCGCGTTTGACGCCTTCCCCGGAGCCTCCCGTGTTGTAAATGAGTGAAAGTCATTGGTCCTGTCGTAGACTAAAGTCTGTGCGCGAGCGTGTGTGTCGCGCGCGAGCGCTGTCTCGTTCCTGGTGCTGAAAAGCGTCCTGATAGTGAACTCTTTACAAATACTTGTTTAAGCAAGCAACAAAGAAAACGTTTTCGTTCTCTGGTGTTCTCGGCCTTGCTGAACGCAGGGTTAGTTTTGTCTGTTCAACTCAAATGATATGCATGTTTAAAATGCGCCTAATGTGGGCAGAGATGTAATGAATGGATAACTACATCTCGAATGTAGTCACATTTAAACAAAACCAAAACATTTTTTGTGGTGTTTTTTTTATTACATAGAAATATATATTTTTCTGATTACAGTAAATTTCATTACTGATGAAAACCGCACGAGTACACATACAAACACTCAAGAGATGACTATAACTCTAAGAAAAAAGAGGTGTTAAAAGTTATGTGTTGGTGTAGAAGGCTGATACTATCACCCTTTGAGTCACAACGTCTGGTTGGTAAAAAAAAAGCAGAATTTCTAATTATCGCATCTTGTTTCATGAAGAAAAATATACCTGTATTAAAATCTGAAATTCATATGGCTCACAGTATATAATCAAAGTACTTCAAAGCAGACCTTAAGTAAAAAAGCATTTTATCCCTCAGCTTATTAATTTGTTCTCAGACAGGCTCCGATACCTCTGCACCACTGACTTTGATGTTAATATGTATTCATGTAATTGGTGTTTTGGCAACACAGCTTAATTCATGATGCTAATGAAGTATTTGCAACACTAAAGGCAGACACAGAGGAGACAAGAAAGACATTCACACATATGCTTCAGGTGGTGGTGACACAGATTTTCAGCCACTTCATTATGTAAACTTGGATCTCACAGCACAAATAATTAACATAGTAATACCACTCTGCATTCAAAATAGAATAAATGCATTTACACCACTGCCAGAAAATGTTTTACATTTCATGAAAGCTTTATTTAATTAAATATTTAATTAAACGAATTGCAAACATAACAGAAGTTTTGCCCTTTAAACTTTCCTTTAATAAAAAATCATCGATCTGCAGCCTTGCTGAAGCTACTGCAGACAGCTGACTACCTCTTCTCTGAAGAATTCTTGCCTTGTTTGGCTCTGTACTTTAAAACAATGGACGTCATTAACAATCAAATCCGGGCATAACACATGAACATTTCACACCTCAATTTTTTTTGTAAAGAAAACAAAATACTAAATAAAACGACAAAGCCTTAAAAATCGCAAATATATTCTCCTTATCTAGTCTTTAATTAAACACGACTTTTATCAGTTTCTTGGTACTATCCCATGGATGCTGGGAATATCATTTTTTGTGTGTGCATGTGTGTCTCTATCTCCTTTCAGGCTGACAGATCACATGTTCCTGGTTCTGTACTGCTGTTTGTGATGTTTTATTTTTTATTTTTTGTTATTGTTGTTGTTTTTTATGGTGTGCTAGTCTTTTTCTTGTTTTTCAGGTTGAAAAACCTGGTCCTGGATGAATAAGAAAGTGCATCAAGATTTCCATAGCAGAAGCCAAGAGGAGAAATGGCCTGTTTTCCAAAGATCCATGCAAAGATCACAAGGTGTGCTTTCAGCTACAAGTGAATAACAATACAAGGGCAGATCCTGCGCTGAAATTGAGTAATGCTAGAAGAGCATTGAGGAAAACAGGCATCACACAATATCAATACTGGTGTACCTAAGAGCAGAGAACAGCAGCCTCCAAGATCAATCTCTCAGAACCAGCATTGCAACATTGCAAATACTACTACTACTACTACTACTAATAATAATAATAATAATAATCATAATAATCATAATGATGCTGGTGCAAGAGTACTAGAAAGAGAGATTATATTAGCTTTTTTTCATTCTTGAATTTAAAATCCTTCTAAAACTCTGGTTTTCTTCCACAGTGTGTCTTTTATCGTGTCATCCTCCCCTCACCCCTAACCAGTTATATATTGAAAAACTTTCCTTGATGTCTGCCACTGCGATGGTTACTGTATCCTGTACAATGAGGTCGCTATTGTCTCCTCTTAGATTCGTACCCACCCTCTCTCCCTTTTTCAAATAATTCACTTCTTATGGGGATCTGCCTGACCCAGGAACTGGCACCAGTCCCCTCTGAGGCCGTCCCCAAACCACAGCCTCAATTTATGCTCAAGCCATCTGCCATTAACAACAAAAATGTTAGCAAACCTAACATTTGTGTAGGTTTTCACAAGCATGTGATCCCAGCTAGTGAATTACTACTTTTTTTACTGCAATTTTAAATATGTTTCTACTGTATTTCACTATAATCCGTGACATTAAGGTATTTGCAAAAGGTGAGTTTTATCTCCCTAAATTTAATATATTTCAATTTGATTTATTTATTTAGCTCCAATTTACAAAAGCAACCAAATTAGGGAACTTAACTCTGTAAGCTGAAAAACCTTACATTAATATACACTCATATGAAATCCATGGCATGTTGAAACAGTAGCTAGCACTGCCGCCTCACAGCAAGGTCTTCGATTAGAATCCACCGTCTGGCCGTGGGTTTGCATAGGTTCTCTCTGGGTTCTCCGGCTGTCTTCAATAGTCCAACCACATGCTTTTAGTGAGGTTAGGTTAATTTCCAAATTGCCCATAGTTGTGAATTGTTGTCTGTCTCTCTGTGTTGGCCCTGTGTCAGACTAGGGGTGTACCTAGCCTCTTGCCCTATGGCAACTGTGATAGGTTTCGCCCCACTGTGACCCTAAATTGGATAAGTGGAAGAGAATGGGTAGAGTAAGAATTCCAGCAAAATAAAATGATGTTTAGTATTTAACAACAGATTACATTTTCTATCCTTGTCTGCAAAATTAATAAATTAATAAATATATAATATATAAGTGAGACATTTACCCTGAAATGCAACAAAAGAGATGTAACTTTACACCTTTAAAACATTCATGAGTAAATCTACTTTTCGAACTTTCCTTTAATCACTGTGGTGGTTGAGATGTTTTTACTGACCCTTCAAACTTTGCCTTCTAAAAATACTTGCTGGAATATTCTAATATTCTGTTTAGAGGAAATACTGACATTTATTCATGTAACATTTTAAAGCACTAAAAACACAAGGAAAACTGAAACAACACGGGGTTCTTTCTAATGTTGTGAGTTGAGATAAGACGGAATAGTAGAGTGGACAATTTTATTAGTTTACACACTGATTACATCTGATCACACTTTAATATTGATCATCATCATATAATAAATACAAAAAGTACATGATAAAAGCTTTGTTTCACATACAGTCATCACCATCATCATCATTCATATCATACTTGCTCACATGAACACAGAAGAAGAAATGATAAGGATCTATCAATACATTTAAATTTTTCTTTATAGCTGAAGCCTAAGATTAACACCCAGGCCCAAACCTAGCTATTAAGTAAGAAGGTACAGCTTTCAAAGAGGGACACTAATTCTAAGTAACCAATCCAATTAAAGTACTGATAGCATTGACATTTGGTTTGACCAGGAAGGGAAATTCATGGCTTTATCCTAAAGCCATAGCTCTGGAGTTTCACTGATACTAATGGTTTAAAAAACAAAAAAACAAAAACAACCTGAAAACTGTCTGATGATGCATAATTCCCCATTTCATTTTATAATGTAAATAATTAGTAATTAATAAAATACTGTTTTGAATGACTGTTAATAATGTGTTGAAATCACTCAAAAGGTTTTGACCTTTTGATACAAGACACTACTCGTGCAAAATGTGAAACACTAAATCGCAGCCTTGGCTTGGCAAGCTCACCATGCGTCTCTCCAAATTTAGGTGCTTAATGTGTTTTTGTTTTTAAATCTTCTTCTAACTTTTATGATTCAATGCAACAAGTATTTGAAAGCAATATTTCTTTATTTTACATCATGAATAGCATGGATGGTGAGAAGCATTACATTGTGAATTGCTGGTATGCCCATACATTTACCCAAGTAGATGGTGTATTTTACAACACCACTTAGTACCTAAGGTTTGATTTCTTAGTGTTGTGAGAAGCACAAAGTTATCTTTCTAATACATTTTTCTTTAGTTTACTTTATAAAATCATATATGGATATTTTAATATTTCATGATAATTGGTTTCCTTTCTCCATTAGGTGACAAGCTGGAACCAGCAAATTTTTATAGTTTTCTTTGAAAACCACTTCCATGATTTGATCTTTCCAGTCATCGTCCTGCGATGATTCAACCAGTCGTTTAACCTTTACTGTGTATGTGATATTTGAAGGATCAAACTAGGAATGTTCTATACTATTTGTTGAGTGAGCTAAAGTAATTTGACAATATTGTGAATATGTCCTAAAATAGACCAGCTCAATGCTTTATCTGAAAGTCTGTATAAGCCTGTTTTAAATCTTCAGCATTTTTCTTCTCACATTCAATAATCATGTATGTACTTTAATCCTGTAGTCAGTCTAAATGTCAAGCTTCAAGAAGTTGATGCCCCCTCAAGGACAGAAAGTTAGATCGTTAAGGGAAAATACAGCAAACAACACTAGATATTTGTTGTATTTTCCCAGATATTTCTGGGAGATATTGTAAAAATAAAGGATTTGACATTCTACCTAATATTTTGGTTTTACTCACAAACATTGAGGGGTGGCTGTTGCTCAGGAAGTAGACCAGGTCATCTACTAATGAGAAGGTCCATGCCAAAGTATCCTAAGGCAGGTATCCTAAGCTGCCCTCCAATGCGTTCATTGGAGTATAAATGTTCAATAAAAAGGCACTTTGGCATCAAAAAAAGTCCTTGGGTAAATGAGGCAAGCTGTGTAAAGCGCTTCGAGTGCTTAAGTAGTGCAAAAAAACCACTATTTCCAAACCAGTCCATTTCAAATTTCATTCCTGCCTGTGTGTTGAATCAATGTCCTGGAAAAACTGTGTAAATTTTTGTGATTTAGACATTACACACAAATATTTGTAAATATATATAAAAGAAACTCTGCTTAGTGCTTGAAATAGAAGTAATAATGTATGTGTGTGCGCAAGACACCGTTGTCTTTTACAAATATGTCAAGTGACTTTTCCATATTTCCACATGTTAAAACCTTCTTGTTTTAGGTCAGCCACAGCTCTACAAGAGTAAGGACAAAGTGAAAATTAGGGCTTTATGGAAAAGGAGGACCTTTTTATGAATTCTGAAATACAGTAAGTCGTTCCTGTTCATGTCTCCAGACTAGAGAAAAACTAAAGTTTATACATAAAAAATGAGAGAGTGACTCTATGTTCTTATTCCAAAACGTACAAATGCAACTCTGGAAGATTTATTATATAATTTTCAATTTCACTTTTACTCTCTTTTAGTCTTTTTTTTTTTTTTTTTTTTTAAATATCTGTCACTTTATGGGGTAAATGTTCTTTTGTTTTCATCAATAGCTGTCTGTGTATCCTGCTCCAATCTGCTTGGCAGGCAGCTGTTTAAGGCTCCATAACTTTAGTGGTTTACACATTTGCCTCCCAAGTGAAAGGTCCCACACACGATGTGTAAGGAGCAGCAGAAAATTCTTTTTCAGCTTTCCTTTTTCTCTTAAATAGCTTTCAGCTAAGTCACAAATTATGACACAAGAGCATAATGTTACCATATTTAAATGCTAATCATGCGGAAGGACAAGTAAATATTAGCTTTGTTGGGTTGTATCTGTACACTTTTGTGAAAATGTGACAAAATGCAATCCTTTAAGAATTCCCCTGTACCTTGATACAATCCTCCTATACTCACTGACTAACCCAATAATCAAAGAAATGCATTTTATAAGATGAGAAAGGTTTTAGAGATACATGTTTTTTGTACAGGGACAGAAAAATGTTAAAACAGACTGCTACTTTTATAGCACTTTTCTATTCTATTTCAGCACTTTCTTACCACAACTCTCATTCATATACACATCCATGTCTTTTTCTATGCCTAAACACATTTAACCAAAAATTCAGATGGATGCAATTTAAGATTTAGTATCTTGCCACGTGGAAGTAGAGGAGCCAGGCATTGAACTGGATCAGGTTGTGTTCTAATAGGTTGTCTATTAACCTTCCGGTTAGTAGATGACCTGCACTAATTCCTGGGCCACAGCCACCCAAAGCAAAAACTGACAATTAAAATATGGTTTTAAATGACCACATAATTAAAACAAACTTTGATTTCACTTTGGGAACTTTGACCTTGGCTTTCTTTTAAATCCAAAGTCTAATTTAATTATTGCAATCAAAAGTAATAACCACACACCCTTGTGTTGAGTTTAAGTTGTCACCTTTTACATTAGTCAGGTTCCAATAAGTTAAATCAAAAATGATCATTTAAGGTTTTGGTTGTTGCCTTTGAAACAGTAAAGAACCTGGGCCCAAATATTACTGAGGAAGGGCATATTCTGTCATGGTCACCAGAATCCTCATATACTACACTGTCATGTCAACAAAAACAGTTTATGCACTTAGAAATCCAGAAAGTAGAGGCCGCAGATTATAGCTCACCAGCAGTGCAAAAAAACAAATAAAACAAACAAACAAACAAAAAAAAACCAACAGAAAATGCACGACAACACCCCATTTACCAAATGCATTAATGTGGAATATCATGCAATTAAATACCATCAACAGCGTAACTGTAGTTAAGTCACCACGATAAAACTGGAAATTTACATAAACATTGGGATATTTCAACATTTCAACCATAGTTTCAGTAGTTAACTTGCAATGTTCAGTACATAAATATGAGTTAAGAACAACAGTAACATCTTAGCATGCTGCATGGTTTTCACTGTCTCACAGAGTGGTTGGGGGTCGTGAGGGATGAGGAATGGGGTAGTGGGGAGTTAAACACCCAACAAATGAATTAAATTAATTAATTAATTAATTGTGTTGTGCTGTGCTGTTGCACAACACAATGAAATTCATAATAAAATACACCCACCAGACTCTTTGTGTGAGACACGTGATACTGATTGTTCATTTCACACAGGCAGCCTTAGTCGTGCAGAACAGCCACTGCTAATGACAACACAGGAAGGAATCATGCATTGTCATAAAAAAGAAGAAAGGATTAAAATGGATAATAAATAGACTGTACAGTTGAAAGAACACAGAGACAGACGGTGGCCATAATTATACTAGAAGTAACAATAGGAAGGAACAATAGCTTTTTTGTTTGCTGTAGGCAGGCTGAAGAGTTACAAGAGTTTAATGTTGTAGCTGATGTGTCCTCTGCTGTCAGAAGATGGGAGCACTGCTATTACTGTCTGCTGTTGTCGAAGTTGTACAGGGAGAGAGAGAAAGAAGTGGGTGTGCAGAGTGCAGGAGCATGACCACAATCCCCAAATCAGATTCCTTCAACCCCACCACACATCCACCTGCACCTCTCTCTCAGTGCTGCTTCTTTCTCTGTGATTATCTGCTCGTTACTTTTCTGCTCTGCCTCCTCAAAATGCCTGGAAAAAAGTATTTACACCCATTCAGATTTTGCATATTTATTTTTTGTGCTGCAGATATACATTTGTTCCCATGAAGCTATATTTAATAACCCCGAATGATTGAGTGAAAACACATTTTTATAAATGTTCATCGTCTGCGTGAATGCTATTGTTGTCCTACCTCACCCCTGCAGCGGGGCAGAAGGAGCTCCTGAGCAGTGGAAGTGGACATTTTGCCACCGGCTGTCCCTGCGGTGCCATACCCTGGTCTCTTCTGATTGGCTTGAGCGAGGACGGCCCTGGCCATCCACGAACTGCGTCAGGCGGATGTAGGCGATGCAGGCAGCATCGTCCCCAATTATATGCACATGGGGGTTAAGGATGGTGGTGTGGATAGGTTTGCTGTTCTTTGAGAGGACTGATGGGAGACAAATAGTCCACTTAGCGATGAATATTAAATATAGATGTATCATATATTTTACATTTTCAAAACATCAGTAGTAGATTGAACTAGTCTTACGATTGTCAAAGTAAAATCTGTGGAAGTCCATTCCCTCCACCAGATTTCCCAGCCCCTCAGGTTCAAATGAGGTCAGACCAGGGTCGCAGATCTTCCTGTTAGTCAAGATATATTTTTACACAAATGACGCACGGAATAATTTAAACAGTTCTGTAACAATATTTTAGCAATGCTATATATCTCATAGTTAAAACATTTAAAAAAAATTTATAACACTGACAAGGAAACCTAAAATTCTGCCCACGTCTGTTTAAGCAGTTACAGTTACTGTTTCATAGTTCTGACTTAGCATGTCAAAATTATTGCTTACTAAGTAACAACCATTACAGACCATCTCACAACTGCACCCAGGTTTGTTAATACAGTAGTTTCTTTTCATTTATGCATTTATGATGCACCTTCCAAACTGTAACAATATTAAACAATGTATACACAATTAGTAAAGATATTATAGAGCTTATAATTTTGCTCTATCATGCTCCTCCCTCATGAAATGGGATCAAATGTTAGAGTCACACTTCGAATAACAATAATAATAATAATAATAATAATAATAATAATAATAAATATAGCGATAAAAACAACAATCATTGTCACAAAATACTAAATGGAAAACCTTTAACCTCTTAATTTAAACCCTTTCCAGTATTTCTTATCTCATTTCATTTTATCCTACATTATATTTCACTAATAACAATATACATCACTTACAGTTTAATTTCTTGGCACTATCATATGGACGCTGGAGAATCTTTTTTTTTTCACTGCAGCGAGTACGTTTTTTTTTTATCTTAGTTCCCTTTCCCAATGTGTGTGTGACGCTCAGTTTTGCAGCTGCTCTGTCAGGTGGATTCTGTTCAACTGTGTCTCCTCCTTAGTATATAAAATGGTGTAAAAAAGTGTTTGCCCCTTCCTTATTTCCTATTTTTGTATGTTTGTCACACTTAAATGTTTCAGATCATCAAACTAATTTAATTATTTAGACAAAGATAACACAAGTAACCACAAAATGCAGTTTCTAAATGACGTTGTTTATTATGAAGGCAAAAAACCCCCAAACCTACATGGCCCTGTGTGAAAAAGTGATTTCCCGCTAAACCTATTAACTGGGTGGGCCACCCTCAGCAGCAACAACTGCAATCAAGCATTTGCTATTACTGCCAATGAGTCCTTTACAGCACTGTGGAGCAATTTTGGCCCACATATCTTGGTGGAATTGTTGTCATTCAGCCACATTGGAGGCTTTTTGAACATGAACCACCTTTTAAAGGTCATTCCCCAGCATCTCAATCAGATTCAGGTCAGAACTTTGACTGGGCCACTCCAAAGAGTTCATTTTGTTTTTCCGAAACCATTTAGAGGTGGATTTGCTGGTGCATTTTGGATCATTGTCCTGCTCCAGAACCTAGGTGTGCTTCGGCTCGAGGTCATGAACAGATGAATGGACATTCTGATAAGGATATTTTGGTAGACAGCAGAATTCACAGTTCCATTTACCATAGCAAGTCTTACAGGTCCCGAGGCAGAAAAACAGCCCCAGACATCACACTTTTACCACTATATTTTACTGTTGATATGATGTTCCTTTTCTGAAATGCTAGATGTAATGAGACATACACCTTTCAAAAAGTTATACTTTTGTCTTATCAGTCCATGGAGGAATTAACCAAAAGTCTTGGAGATCATCAAGATGTTTTCTGGCATTTCCCTCTTGTCTGTCATTTTATGTGTCAGTCAGTTCTAGCCCTGCCTTGTTACCATTTTTGCTTTTTTTCATCACCTGTTTACAAGCAAATAAAGCTGTGATTCTGAGTTTAGTTCTTCTATAACCTTCTAAATACCAAAGTACGTATTGTAGATTCCAAGTAAATCTTTTTCTTAGGATTGTCTATGCAATCCTAAGAAAAAGATTTATTTGTAGACAATATATTGTGTAAACTGACTGAAATAGAAGTCTATGCCAGGGTGCTGTAAGGAGAATTTGTCCGCTAGTGAACCTCGGATACAGGAGGAACAATGCGGTTTTCGTCCTGGTCGCGGAACACTGGACCAGCTCTTTATCCTCTCAAGGATACTTGAGGGTGCATGGGAGTTTGCCCAACCAGTCTACATGTGTTTTGTGGACTTGGAGAAGGCATTCGACTGTGTCGACTGTGTCCCTGAGGCCATGGTTCTCAACCGGAAAAGGGTGGAGTGCCCACTCCGGGTCGGGGATGAGTTCCTGCCCCAAGTGGAGGAGTTCAAGTATCTCGGGGTCTTGTTCGCAAGTGATGGGAGAAGGGAGCCGGAGATCGACAGACGGATTGGGGCTGCAGCTGCAGTAATGCGGACACTGCACCGGTCCGTCGTGGTGAAGAGGGAGCTGAGTGTAAAAGCGAAGCTCTCAATTTACCGGTCGATCTACGTCCCTACCCTCACCTATGGCCACGAGCTGTGGGTAGTGACCGAAAGAACGAGATTGCGGATACAAGCGGCAGAAATGAGCTTCCTCCGAAGGGTGGCTGGCCTCTCCCTTAGAGATAGGGTGAGAAGTTCAGCCATCCGGGAGGGGCTCAGAGTAGAGCCGCTGCTCCTCCACATCAAAAGGAGCCAGCTGAGGTGGTTCGGGCATCTGACAAGGATGCCTCCTGGGTGCCTCCTGGGTGGGATGATCTGATATCCTCGTGTCCGTGTTGTTCTCACATCATCATAATAAATGTTGTTCCAGGTTCAACATTGCAAGTGACCAATCACATTGTTGTGACGTCCCCCTTTTGTGCCTTTGAAAAATACAGCCATAAAAAAATCTACTTCACTTGCGAGAAGAGAAACCACTTCTGTCCGCCGATCCAGGAACTTGAATTCTTTGAATTTCAGGATACTTTTCTTTAATAAACAGTAAGCATTATACATATTGTCCTTACACACGCGGTTTCCCGGTTTTTGAAGGCGTTTTTTTCGAGGTCGTGGGTGACGTCAGGAGAAGATGATTGGTCACTTGCAATGTTGAACCTGGAACAACATTATTTATGATGATGAGGGAACAACGCCAACACGAGGATATCAGATCATCCTCCTGGGTGAGGTGTTCCAGACATGTCCCACTGGGAGGAGGCCCCGGGGCACCCCCAGGACACGCTGGAGAGATTATATCTCTCTGCTGGCCTGGGAAAACCTTGGTGTTCCCCCGGATAAGCTAGAGGAGGTGGCTGGGGAGAGGGAGGTCTGGGCTTCTCTGCTTAGGTTGCTGCCCCAGCGACCCGGCTCCGGATAAAGCAGAAGAAGATGGATGGATGTTGTGTAAATTTAATTTAGTATTTAATTTTTCTCATTGTGTATCATGACTTCAGCTGAATCTTATAACTGTGATTGAGCAAGTCAAATATTTAATTCAGTTAAAATTTTAAATTAAAAAAAAAAAAACAATCTCACTTTCAATTTTGAACTAATTACTAAAGATTGTGAAATTAGTAGTTCATACTCCACAGTTTAGTGGTTTAAACAGTCACCTAACAAGCAAAAGTTTCTTGAACTGATCATGGTTGTAAATTTTTGAAATTTTATATTACTATCTTTTGAATGTGACTCAGTATGACATACAATTACTATGTCTTTGTAGTTCCACTTCCAATTTAGAATTACAAATCTTACTCAAAGTAACTCAGACTTATTTTTGAGCTCTGTGAGTAACTGTTGTATTGTTTTTGCTTATAATATAATTGCTTTTTTAAACTCATGCATACATTTTAATCTGTGTCACCTTTCTTTGTGGAAATGGGTTTCCATCACTCTAGGTACACTTTAACCACCCCTCCCCACTCTACGTCAGAAGCATTACTCTTAATTATACGGCAGGTAGAGAGGGGAAGAGAGGATAAAACAATGACTACAATTACTCTTTAATCTTTTAATACAACATGTTTTTATGTCAATCAGATTAATGGTTCTCTGTGGTTGATGGAGAGCTTTAATGTCCACTTAAAGAGCTAAAATTGTACTCTTGCAGCAGCTGTTTAAAAAATCTTTTATGGAACCAGAAGGATGTGCATTGGACTTACGCGTAGGCCTCAAAGTCTCCATTGTTGAGAGCTTCAATAAGCTGCTCTGTGATCTTTATGATTTCCTGTTTGCGAGCTGCAGAGAAGAAACAAAAAGTGTGAGAAAATCTGATTGTATCCCAAGTGACATTTCGGCTTCACTGTGAAGCTACAGTGTACTAATGTTCCAATGTACGGATGCAAAACTCGGCTCATGACACTGAAAAATTGAATGCAAATCAGTTCACACTTACCTATGAGCTTGCTATTCATTGTAAATGTTATCAGTCATCGCTTTCTCATCTGAGGTTACAAGTGAAAACTCCTTCATGTTGCTAAACATAAAAACTACTTCACTACTTAGATCCTCCCCTACATATCCCCCATTTTTTAAAATGCTTCCAACTGCTCTGTAAAGGCGATGAATTGCTCGCTACCATCCATCATCCATCATATCTCTTGTTTGCATGTGAGGCTGCTTGAGCTCATCAAGCTATTCTTGTCCCAGCTCTTCAGATGAGATTTACTGTGTCCCTTTCCCCTCGCTTCCTCCCTACACTGAGAGGAAGGCTTAGCTTGCTCTAATTGTCCCTCTTCCTCCCTCCCTCTCTCTCTCTCTCTCTCTCTCTCTCTCTCTCTTTCCCCACCTCTTTCAGTCTCTCCACCTCTCTGTTTTTAATTTTGCTTTGTGCCTCTGTTTATCAAAAATTCAGCTCTGCACTTCAAAACCCCAGTTTATTGTCTATATCAATACTCATGAAAAATTAGCAACATGCAAATGTTACTGCTGTTTTCAAAAATATACTTATATCTCAGATGAACAACAAAACATAACACATATATATATATATATATAAGAAAATAAGCCAATTGCAGAAGCAGTAAGTGCAGAATTAAGCACCTTGCTGCTATTTACCTTCTAAATCATAACAATAATAATATTTGTGTACTTATATATATATATATATATATATGTATGTATATATATATACAGTGGGGCAAAAAAGTATTTAGTCAGCCACCGATTGTGCAAGTTCCCCCACCTAAAATGATGACAGAGGTCAGTAATTTGCACCAGAGGTACACTTCAACTGTGAGAGACAGAATGTGAAAAAAAAAATCCATGAATCCACATGGTAGGATTTGTAAAGAATTTATTCGTAAATCAGGGTGGAAAATAAGTATTTGGTCAATAACAAAAATACAACTCAATACTTTGTAACATAACCTTTGTTGGCAATAACAGAGGTCAAACGTTTACTATAGGTCTTTACCAGGTTTGCACACACAGTAGCTGGTATTTTGGCCCATTCCTCCATGCAGATCTTCTCGAGAGCAGTGATGTTTTGGGGCTGTCGCCGAGCAACACGGACTTTCAACTCCCGCCACAGATTTTCTATGGGGTTGAGGTCTGGAGACTGGCTAGGCCACTCCAGGACTTTCAAATGCTTCTTACGGAGCCACTCCTTTGTTGCCCGGGCGGTGTGTTTTGGATCATTGTCATGTTGGAAGACCCAGCCTCGTTTCATCTTCAAAGTTCTCACTGATGGAAGGAGGTTTTGGCTCAAAATCTCACGATACATGGCCCCATTCATTCTGTCCTTAACACGGATCAGTCGTCCTGTCCCCTTGGCAGAAAAACAGCCCCATAGCATGATGTTTCCACCCCCATGCTTCACAGTAGGTATGGTGTTCTTGGGATGCAACTCAGTATTCTTCTCTCCTCCAAACACGACGAGTTGAGTTTATACCAAAAGTTCTACTTTGGTTTCATCTGACCACATGACATTCTCCCAATCCTCTGCTGTATCATCCATGTGCTCTCTGGCAAACTTCAGACGGGCCTGGACATGCACTGGCTTCAGCAGCGGAACATGTCTGGCACTGCGGGATTTGATTCCCTGCCGTTGTAGTGTGTTACTGATGGAGTGCCACCCACTACAAATTGACTACTACTACTTCAGACGGGCCTCTGCACTTCAGCACGAATCTGTCTTGCAGGATATCCGTGTATTGTCCTGGTCCACTCCGAGGTCATTCCCCCCCGTGTGGTTCTGGGATCTTTGCTCACCGTTCTCATGATCATTTTGACCCCACGGGATGAGATCTTGCGTGGAGCCCCAGATCGAGGGAGATTATCAGTGGTCTTGTATGTCTTCCATTTTCTGATGAGTCGTTCTGCGTCATCACAGGTCCCGTTGGTCGATTTTGTCTTCTAGATCTTTTCACGGGATAGTCTGTGGAGCCCCAACGGGGACAGTCTTAGCTCATCGATAGCTCCCAGTGATTTTTCACACCAGCTGCTGCATTGTAGATTCACTCTTCCCAGTCTGGTGCAGGTCTACAATACTTTTCCTGGTGTCCTTCGAAAGCTCTTTGGTCTTGGCCATGGGGAGTTTGGAGTCTGACTGTTTGAGGCTGTGGACAGGTGTCTTTTATACAGATGATGAGTTCAAACAGGTGCCATTCATACAGGTAACGAGTGGGGGACAGAAAAGCTTCTTACAGAAGACGTTACAGGTCTGTGAGAGCCAGAGATTTTCCTTGTTTGAGGTGACCAAATACTTATTTTCCACCCTGATTTACGAATAAATTCTTTACAAATCCTACCATGTGAGATTCATGGATTTTTTTTTCACATTCTGTCTCTCACAGTTGAAGTGTACCTCTGGTGCAAATTACTGACCTCTGTCATCATTTTAAGTGGGGGAACTTGCACAATCGGTGGCTAGACTAAATACTTTTTTGCCCCACTGGTAAATAAACAAATTCAAATTCAAATTCAAATTTTATTTGTCACGTACACAGTCATACACAGTACGATATGTAGTGAAATGCTTGGACAACTGCTCGTGACCTAAAGAAAACAAAAAAGGAAAAGGCTATGAATAAGATAGGAAATAAATATGAAAAATTAAAAAGGGTAAATTTAACTAGGAAGGAATAAAATATAAATTAAGGTTAAAAATGAAATAACTGTACAACACAAATTAGAATGAAGGGTAAATTTAACTGGGAGAATAAGATAAAATATATAAATTAAAGTTGAAAATAAAATAACTGTACAACAAAATACACAATATAGAACTATATAAGAATGTATGAAGAAATATAAATAAATATATACACAATAACAGCAGCGTGATTTAAGTAATGAAGTGAAAACAATGTCCAGAATGTCCAGTGTGTGTAAGAACTGTATGTGTGGGTCAGTACTGTGTGGTGGTGTGATTGAGAGACCGTATCGCCTGCGGGAAGAAGCTCCTCCTCAGTCTCTCTGTGTTGGTCTTCAGGGAGCGGAATCGCTTTCCTGACCTCAACAGAGAGAACAGTCTGTTGTTGGGATGGCTGAGGTCCTTCACGATCTTCCTGGCCTTGGTCCAGCACCGCCTGCTGTAGATTGAGTGCAGGTCAGGGAGCTCGGAGCGGATGGTGCGCTCAGCTGACCGCACAACCCTCTGTAGAGCTCGTCTGTCCTGCATGGTGCTGTTCCCGAACCAGGTTAAGATGTTTCCCGCCAGGATGCTCTCTATGGTGCACGAGTAAAAGTTCCTGAGCACCTTGGAGGGCAGTTGGAAGTCTCTCAAGCGTCTGAGGTGGTAGAGACGCTGTCGGGCCTTTTTCACCACGGTGTTGATGTGACAGGACCATGACAGGTCCTGCGTGATGTGAACTCCGAGGTATTTGAAGCTGTCCACTCTCTCCACTGGGCACTCGTTGATGACGGGGGTCTGGTAGTTCCTCTCCTGCTTAGTGCTGAAGTCCACTATCAGCTCCTTTGTCTTACTGACGTTTAGAAGGAGGTTGTTCCTCTGGCACCAGTTCTCCAGATTCCTAATCTCCTTCAGGTAGGCCGTCTCGTTGTTATCAGAGATCAGGCCCACCACGACGGTGTCGTCAGCAAACTTGATGATGGTGGTGGAGCTGGTAGTGGCCACACAGTCATATGTGTACAAAGAGTACAGCAGGGGGCTCAGAACACACCCCTGGGGGGCTCCAGTGCTGAGAGTGGTGGAGGCTGAGACATGTCCGCCCATCCTTACTGCCTGTGGTCTGCCAGTTAGGAAGTTGGAGATCCACTGACACATAGATGAGCTGAGTCCCAGATGCTCCAGCTTGGTGGTGAGTGTGGAGGGAATTATGGTATTAAATGCAGAGCTGTAGTCTATGAAGAGCATTTTAACATAATTCCCCCTTCTAGTGTCCAAGTGAGTGAGTGATGTGTGGAGGAGATGAGAGATGGCATCGTCTGTGGAACGATTTGGACGGTAAGCGAACTGTAGTGGGTCCAGTGTGTCGTGTGTGTGTGTGTGTGTGTGTGTGTGTGTGTGTGTGTGTGTGTGTGGCTGCACGGGGTCAACGCGTTAGCACGGTTAGCTCGTTAACGCATTAGTGCCGTGCAGCCCCATGGGGCGATCCGCGTTAACTCACTAACGGAGATTTGCCATGTTAATGCAGTTACAGCTTTAACGTCATTTTAACAAGATTAACACTGACAGCACTAATAATTTTATAAAGTAAACTAAAGAAAAATGTATTTGAAAGGTAACTTTGTGCTTCTTATAACACTAAGATATCAAACCTTAAGTACTAAACGGTGATGTAAAATACATATATATATTTCACATCTGCCTTTCTTACAAGTTGACCCCAAAATGTGTTCTATAATTAAATAAAGTAATGTCAAGCAAAAGAAAATGAGCTATCAAATTTGTTAGAAATAAACTATTGTATAATGTTATATAATAAGTTCAAGTTATTCATGTCCAGACAAAGCTATATTATTGTCACATTAAGTACTCCTCTATAATAGCAGGGTATCAGTGGGAGCTGTGCTACCGTTGGCTGAAGACAAAGTGAGAGGAAGGGAGAAGTTTTGTCCAAGAGTGTCATGGTCATGGTTTGGGTTTTGAGAGTTGATGGATATTTTGGATTCAGAAAAAGTTTTATGTTTAGGTTTTGTTTCTTGTCTCTTTCTGTTATACAAAAAAAAAAATGAATTCCCCATTTGCCCTGTAGTGAGTCTTTATCCTTCAAGCTCGGGTCCTCTACCAGTGGCTCGAGGGTCCCATGCAGTATCTTTGCTCTTCTGGACAG